TCCTTCATCATCTTTCATACAATAGTTTAATATATGTATACATACATACATAAACACATACAAGCACACTCATAGTTTACATCATAGTTGATCATTTTGCAAACTATATAGAAAAGTTTTGATCTGAATATAGTATTTGAATTAGTTTCTCCCTCTAATATTTACAACCATTCATTCATTTGTCCATGCTATGAAACTATGTTAGCAGACTTATGAAACCTTCTGCAGTTGTTTAATTTGTATCAATTCTGTATTCACACTAATAAAATACTAATGGTTCCTCACATTGATCAATCTGCAGCGTCTAAAAGTAATAAATGTCTTGTTTTGCTCCTGCTTTCGGTCCAGTTCATCTTTTATTTTGCTGACTGTTCCTGCTGCACAGTAAGGGATGCAGGTGGTGCAGGTTCCACCTATTACCTAAATGCTATTGGAACCCAAGAACCAAGTCAGTATAAGTAAATAGAAAAGGAACTTTCACAAGCTCCTCAACCACCTGAAAATTTACTTTCTGATGTCAGAAGTTAAAACTAACAATAATAACTGTTATACAAAGGCCTCAGCAGTTGAAATATCATTCAGCTCCTAATGGAATTACTGTAACTGCTCTCACAGAGTTACTAAAGCTCCAAACAGAAAAAACATAACCTGATACCAGACTGTGTAATAAGTCAGTGTGTTATCAGTGTGGTTAGCGGTTCAGATATGAACTCCCATGTAAATAATGCTTCGGTGAGTAAACTATATTTGTCTGACCTTGACTGGATGCACCCACAATCCATTGGATGTCATTTTAACAAAAACAAACAGGATGAAGCTCTGCTCTCAGTGTTTTGGTGAAATGTCCTCTTGCTTGACAAGACATAAAGCAAGAGACAGAGCAAAAACACAAGCTCAAAGGTAACCAAGGACAAGAAAAAAATCAGATTTTTAAGTTGAAATTTTAAAATGTTTAATAATAAATAATAATTTTATATGTCATAGAAAACAGATCTGCCCTTTCCTGTATCAAATTAGGTAATGACTTACTATCAGAGGAAACGAAATGTATGAGTTCATGTAAATATTACAGCTTTTTTTCTGAATAAATTATGACTTTATTCTCTTTCTTTCTCTATTATTAATTCTTATACTCCATCATAGTCACAAAAATAAAAGTGCCTGATGAAAAACAGGTTGAACGACAGTCCTATGACAAATTAACTTACTGTTCAGTTTTTAAAGACTCAAATGTGACAAAAACTAACTTGGTAATATCCTATTAACACTTCATGCTGTATAACAGTTGCTAATGTTCTCTAACAAGAAAGATAAATGATCATGTTCATCAGACCTACAAATAGAGATAACTCTTTATTCAAAAGATTTGTCCTCATACCGCCTTCAGATGTCACCTTAGTGAAATGAAGTGAAAATGTATAACATTTTGTTGAATTATTACATATTGCAGTGTCATCAAATGGATCTTTTAGGCTCTGGTGTCCTGTGAACTAAAAACGGAAGGAGAAGGAGGTGATTGGAGGTAATTTTCCACTGCAGTTGTGGCTCGATGAAACCAGCTGAGGTGATGAAGCTTAGACAAGTCCAGACAGGACTGATCCAAACCCCAAATATCTCTTGATTATGCAACATCTGAACACAGAGCTGCATGTGAAGAGACGCTTTAATAACTCCTCCCTCACACTGTGGCTTATATTAGGACTCATACTTAACGACTTAATGTTTACATAGGGAATCTCCACAGCTCTAATTTTCTTATATCAAACTCTTTCAGTTTAGTTTTTGTTGCTTAATCTTCTATCAGAGTGTTTTATAAAATGCTGGTTGATTCCTAAAGTGATGCATTACTTTTTGTTGATGGATTTACACCTGAAATGAATGTTATTATACAGTACACTCTCTGTAGAAGGCCTATTTCTTTCTTTTTAATACACAAACTGCTCATCAGCACTTTTACATCTGTGGGTTGAATTTGAAGAAAAACTTTTGGCTGAGAAACAAGAGGATGTAGTTTCAGTTCATTCTGGTTAGTTCCCATAAATGAGTTCCAGGAAAGAGCAGACTGACTTCAGTGTTTTACAGCACTGACAAACACACTATCATAAAGGCGAAGAGCAGGACATGAACTACTGAGTGGAGGTTGTAGCTACAACATTAGCATAGAAATGCTCATCTGGGGCACCCTGATAACCCCACCAAGGCTGGGTCATAGCTGCAGCGGCCATAGGTTTGAATCCGATCTGGCCCTTGTTGCATGGGTTAGGGCATGTCATCCCCTTTCTCTCCCCCTGCCCTGTCTATCTTCAGCTATCCTATCTAATAAATATGATAAACAATATAAAAGAAAAAAAAAAGAAATGCTGAAAACGTGGACTTGACCTGAAAGTAAAGTAGCAGGATCCAGTGTGAACCTGATCAGTTAAAACCTCTGTCTGAGGACACAGATATAGAGGCAATATGATTCCATTTCCTTGAGTTGGTTGACATACTTCCTGATCCATTCTGGACCAGGTGCTATGAGGACATGAACACTCTGCTAAAAACAGGTGAAGAAAAATGTCCTGCGAGGAATTAAACTGGTTTATCAACAAAAGAAACCTTTCTTTCTATTAAGTTTAGTTTATTGGGTCATGTTCTAGTTTTACTGTAAACACTGCAGCATCCTGTGAGTGGGACCATGAAACATCCCTGCAGTCCCTGAATTTAGAGCTTTAAATAAACTGCTGTTGATAGTCAGTTCAGGTTGGACTGTTTGAGGCATGCATTCCTCAGACTCATTGCAAATCATTGTGTTCACTGTCCACAGCTTCAACTGGTGACAATACGTTAAAGACACACTGTAATGTTCACTTTGTTCTCAGTTTTGGCCATAAGCTCTGGACATGTTCAGTTTCTCATACACCAAACTGACAGTTGGCCATCATTTAGTATCTTTGGCTGAATGTCACCTGGAGTTTTTCAGTGTATCTGGCACTGCTACAGTAACCCATCTCAATGGTTGTTTGGTTTGTTAAGCATGAAAGAGCCCCTGGCCGTTACACCCGTGTGAACATCATATGGGTGTAGTATGGGTTAACATTACATTCATTGAGCTTGTTTTTAACCACGATCAAATTTTGCTCTTGCTCTTGGATATTTCCCCGTAAAAGACTTTAGAAGGCTGTTCAGATTAAGGCCAGAGATCAGATCGATGTCAGGTACAGAGCCAAAGGAAACCATTCTCAGCTTTTATTACAGACATATCTGAACTAACCCTGACTTCCCAACTCATTTTGTTGAGCAGTGACATTGACCTGTGATGGTCCGTGAGCTTATGGGAAATGGTGTTCATTAAAAAGCCCCTAAGAACAGAAATATTGAATTGACAATAATTTGATTTTTCTTTTTTTTATTCTCTCCTTTAATTCTGAGTTGAGTTATTTAAGTTATTATAAATGTCAACTGGATATTGATTGAGGTTTTTTTTAACTTTAACTGTCACTGAACAAGGAAGTTCTGGTTTCACTGTGCCTCTCTATTGGACCCCCATATGAACATATCTGAGAATATCAGGTTTAATACGTGTCATTTCAAAAGCAGATCTGCGTCACACATGACGAAAGAACGTGTAACATTTTTACAGAGACACAGAACCCCCAGCCCATACCTGCCACACCTGTTGTAATAGCCGTTGAAGTGGATGTGAGAACAAGATAATGTCTACATGGCAACCCTTTAATATCAACATCAACAGGTCTTTCCCATAAGCCCAAAGGCGACGGTTGACCTCAGTCACCGAGAGCAGCATGACCTCATGGCAACACGACACCAATTTCTCTGAGGTAATGCATTAATGAGCGGTGAACAATGTCCATGAGCTACATGTGAATGAAATGAGTTACTGTATATTAATCATTAGAATAACACTGCAGTCTGCAAGGTCCTCAGACATTTAAACTATATTACTCATCACTGTATGAAGCTGTGATGTAACCAGAAGCTGAAAGAGCTGCACACTGACGAGCTCATGACTCAGCACCTATCGGGTTTTATGGCTCTGACAATTAAGATGAAAAATGAAAAAAGGAAAGTGAGTCTGCACAGAAAAGTTTTCCTCAGAGTCTGCAGGAATCAGTCCAGACTTAAGCTGAAATCCCAAATATCCTTCAATGTCTACAATATCTATTAGCATATTTTACATGCAGTAGTAGCAGTATTGTGATGGCATTATGTAATCAGCCTCCACTCTTACCCTGTTGAACCTGGCTGCAGGGATTTGTTCCCATTCAGACACAAGAACATTAGTGAGGTCCACCACTGAAGTTGGGTGTTAACTTTCAGTTCATCCTAAAGGAATTGGATGGTGTTGAGGTCGGGGCTCTTTGCAGGCCAGTTGTTCCACACCAAACTGGGAAAACTCTTTCTTTGTGGAGCTGGCTTTGTCTCCTTAGAAAGAAAGGGACCCTGAGTTTATAGTAAGGGAAGGCTGGTTTTGTTAAGTTATTTTTCATTTATTTCTGTGTCAGTCCCAATTATCAGATCATGTTTTCTGAATCACTATTACTGGCTTAATGTTTCTTTATAGTTAAATGATTTAGTGTTTACAAAGCTCAGTTACAAGCCACATCTGGCAAATATGCATCTGCATGAAGAGGGGCCAGTTTATGTGCTTTCTGCAAGATTCATTTTCAAAAAAGGCAGAAAAAAACATGTAGCCTTACATAATAAAGTGAATAAAAGTATTGCCTTAGGCAGTTTTAATTTTAAGTGCTGTATAATTTTGTAAAAACGAAATTTGTTTGACACCTTAAAAAGACCTAGTTTTTAAATCAGTTTGCAGTTGTTATTATTGTAAGAATGGAATTAAAGCTTGTCAAGGATGCAGATGTTTTGATTATAATGCAATGCAGTCTGCAATAAACACCTAATAGTTAGAATATTCATTAGATGTTTTGATTAATTCAAATATGGAGAAAACACTCAAAAACATGCAATTCAGTGAAAAGGCAGGAAACAGGAACTTCTTTGAGACATTTTTTTATTAAAATTATTCATCAATAAATAGCAAATAATAGAATAAATAACTAAATAAGACATACAACAGACAATGTCAATTTCAGCTCGGTGGCCTACAGTAGTGACAGTTTTCAATGACGTAGTAAAACATCCAGTTAGTGCAGTTAAAGTGTAAAATACACACAGTTCAAGTTTTCTTGAGTTCAAGTTTCAGTTTTTGTAAGTGTTCACAGTTTCTTTTCTTTCTTTCTTTTCAAATGTCCCATTCCAGACTGTGTCCTCCTCCGCTCTCAGGGGGACCGCTGGCGGCGGAAAGCCGGCGTATGAAGCTTCCTCCCGGCTGCACCGCACAGGGCGCACCGCTGTTCTCCAGAAGCTGCTCGGCATCAACTCCAGCTCGGCTCATTTTTGATCCCAGAAGCCCAGACTCGGGCGGTTTATGGTTGAACCAGACGCGGACGTTTTAGTTGTCGCTTCCCAGTCTGTGGTAGACAAGGAGAGCCACCACGTAGCTCTTACCGGCGCTCTGCTCGAATGACCGGCTGCTCTCTGTCTCCTCGCCGGGCTTGGGGCAGGTTGTGTTCGGAATGATCGGCTCGCTGGATGAGCTGTCGTCCTCGCAGTTGCTCGGGGAGGCTGACAGGAACTCGGAGCTGGCGCTGAGGTCTGTGAGATGTCTCACTTGCTCCTCCGCAGACTGGAAGGTGAAACCCTGGTAGTCGCTGACCGGGCTGTCTGAGCTGCCCAGCGGCGTCTCTGCGCAGGGGTCCTCGGTGTAGATCTGCCACAGCACCACCAGGCACAGGATGACCAGCCAGCGCTTGGCCTGGCTCTTCTCCGGTTTTGGAAGATGCATGTGGACTTTAGCTGGGTACATAACCCGAGTGCAGCGCTTCTTCGGCCGGATAGGCACGTAGGAGCGCACGGCGGTTGCCTGAGTCGGTAGCCGCTCGAAGGTGAAGACCTCGGGCTCTGTGCTGCGGGTCGCCATCCTGGAGAAGGCAAAGCTCTCCCGCTGAACAGTCAGAGTCATGCTGTTTGACCGTGAGTACATTTTCTTAGAGTTTTGTGTTGCTTTCTCTTGGGGGTTACTCTGTCGGAGCTTCCACAAACTCAGATATCCTGTCGAAGACAAGAGCTCCGTATTTATATCTTATTCAGGTTGTGCTTTTTAGAAACGCCCATATAGAGCAGGCCACTCCCTGAGCTTATTGCTCAAGTGGGGAAATAATACAGTTTTCATAAGTTCTACGTTTGTGGCCGGAGCAAGCAGGTAAGAAGCTGAATCATCAGGGTTTGGTAAAATAATTAGCCACCACTAAACTATGTAGCAAAAAATCAAATAAAGGAACCTAATTTGAATATACGTATATTATATGATATTATTATTATTATAATTATGTGATATGTATTATTTAATCCTAAATATATTACAAATAGATTATAAGCAGCCAAAACACATGATATTCACATGATATTCACATGATATTCAGTCCTGTCAGTCATTCTGAGGACCTATAAGGTTTCAGTTGACTGTAAACATTATAGACAGTACAATATGTGCCCAGTCACATGTGACAGATACTCTGCTGGAAATTTCCTTCAGAAATCCTCAGGGTGGTTTTTACTGGATACAAACATGAACTGAAATTGACTTTCAATTTAGTGTAATTGTGTGAGTAATTTCCTTCTTAAAGCTAGACTTTGAGATTTTATGCCAGGGAGTGAATTCTGAGCCTGGGTTAAAATGAAATAAAATGCCATTTTTTGTGTTGTACGTTTTATAATATGGTATAGTAATAATATAATATAATAATATAATAATAGTAATATGGCCAATGTTCAGTCAATCATTGTCTCACATCACTGTGATAATGTGAACTGCAAACTTCAAAAGAGTCATTTGGGATTTTGGAGACTTTTGTAACTAAACCAGAATGACTTAACCTAATGTTGACCCTAACACACTGAGATCAGTAAATTAGCTGCAATGGCAGTTTAGTTGTGGTGGATAGAAAGAAGAAATCATTTGTCTCAAGATATGATCTTTGGTTTTCACACAAACTGGAGTTAATTGCTGTGAGAACATTTGTACATTTACAAACAAGGAAAAGGTGGAGAAGCAACTTAAACAACGTTCACAATAAGCTTCAGACTTCTTTGTTTTCTACAATAGAATTCATAAATCACCCACAAAAAACATTTAGAGGAAATATGTTTCCACAGCCTAAACACACATAGATTATCAATGAACACATAAGCCAAGAAACACAGCCGCAAGGGACACAGTAGATGAGAGTCAAAGGACATCAGTCCGTTTAGTGTGCTGCAGTTTGTTTAGGGCAGTGATGGCAGAGGGTGCAAAGCTCTGTGTTTTTACAGATCAGAAATCTGTATCTGCAGCCGGATGGGAGTTAAGTGAAGAATGAGGTGGCTGGGGTCGTGTGCTATGGTGAGTGCTTTGCATGTGATGGTAGTGACAGTGCAGGTTTCAGTGAGGACTTCTTTCGTTTTTGTGCTATTCAGGAGAAGGTGCTTCTCCATGCACCACTGAGTGAAGTGGGAGATGCTGATAGGCCAGGACTGAGTTATTGTGCTTGAGAAGTGCAAGTATGGCTGTATTATTATATGAATATTTGAAATACATATGATGAGGGAGGATCTGTGAAAGTCATTAGTGTAGAGGGTGTACAGGAAAGGACTCAGCCATGGGGGGCTCCGTTGTTAGTGATGTAGTAGTGCCCACCCTGTAGTCTGTTAGATATTAATTAAATGGTCCATCATGCCTTCCTTTTGAGAAAAAGTTAGCAAAGTAAAACACATTAGACAATTAGAATTAAATGATTGGAATTAAAAAGCTGCATTTGTTTGTTGATGAATTGAATTGATTCTAAAAATATCTCTGCTTGCTTGAAAATGTACATTAACTGGGGAATTTTACTGGTTTTCCAACATGTGATTTTTGTCACCCAGCGCTGTGAGTTCATTTTGAATGGTGAAGTCACAGGATGTTGTGAAAGTCCAAATTCAAAGAGGAAGACACTATATTTACGATCTATTTATGCTGGTACTACGATTCATTTTACAGCAGCCTGCAGTTGTAAGCTGCTTATAAGTTTATTTGGTAAAAAACATTTTGATGAAGAGAAATACTGTTTCACTACTTCTTTTAACATTTAGACCAAGATGTTCACATGTCGTTTTAATTTGGTTGCAGCTGCACAATACATTCAAGGCTTGTGGAAGTTAATGTTAATGTCAATGTCCCACAAATATTTGGCTTGCAGTTATAAGAAACCTTTATGGAACTTTAAAAAATGAGTGGATGCCCTTTCTGGCTCAGGTAATTATGTAAATAAGTTTGGATGAAATCTGTAGCAGAAAATAGCTGATGTGGAAGTGCATTTTTCGGGAACAAAAATTTGTTCATATAATACAGAACGTACCCTCAATGTATATTCTCATGTCTGATGGAACCTTGATTTTGACACCTAATTCATTTGAGTAAATAACTGTAAATGATTTATTGTGTAGTGTTCCCTGGAATATGCAGGTTCTGCACCAACCTGCCGAGTTTCACTTGCTGCCAAATTATTTCACAACATATCTGATCTCACCCTGTACTGCAGAAAAAGTGATCTTTCATCTTTTCTTAGAACAATACAGTAATAACATTCAAATAATGTCAATTTTGAGACCATCGAAGGAACAAGGTAACATTTTTTGTCTCTCCAGGTACAATATTCAGTGTGCAGGCAAAATTGTGCTCCTTCAGTACAGTTTACACAGTAAGAATAAATACAGTAAAAGAAGATATAAGACAAGTACAAAGATAGTGAAGTGCAAAAAGTATGAAGGAAAGTAAAGTGCAATGAATGAACAGTGAACAGTAAAGATGTATGATGGCAGTTGGTGCACTGTATGGTGAAACCTGCATTAATCAAGTATTTAATATTAAAATCTGATTTTTAGCCTCTTGCTTTGAGCACGAGGGCCCTGTCATACCAAAGTGGCACCATTAAAAGCATGCTTTTAACTATTAGCAATGTGCCCATGTATGTACAGACTAACTATTGCTGGATTACTTTGATACTGAAGAACACTTGATTGAAAAGGATTTTCATCTCTTAATCTAATCTCACAATACGAGACGTTCAGAGATTACAGTGCCTATCAATCGTCTGGGGATTTCTAAATGCAAAGTAGTTGCTTGAATAGCAGCGAGAACAGCCGCTAACAATCATATGATGAGGACATGCCAAAGATTTAAGATTGGTTCTGCAATCCAGGTTTTTTTCTGTAATTGTTTCCAGACAGTTTTACAAAAGCCAAGAGAAAGTCCTCCATCTCTATTGAGTGTTTAGAAACTGACTTTCCTCAGATTTGATTTCTAAGCAGATTTATGGATGTTTATTGATGATGGACATCAAAGATAATGATATCATCAGGAGGGGTTAGACACTGAAATGACTTTAAGCTAATTTCTTTTGTGTGTTTTAAAATACCATTATCACCAAATTATATCACTGCTGCAGCTCCAACTAACGATTGTGTAACTACAATAACTAACTTCCTTTTGGCCCTGAACCCACTGGAATGTGAAACCTTAATGTGACTGGTATTAAAGTAGAAGTTTTGGCTTGACGGTAGCACTATAAACAAAGGAAGGTGCTAGGTCAGCAAATTAACTAGGATTCACCCCCTTGTTTCCATGAAAATATCATGAAGATCTGTTGGCATAAAAGTGGGACTCTCTTCCTCTACCTACTCGCTCATTTTGGCACATCTGTAGTCACTGTATCTGTGATCACAGTGTCGCTGTATACGTGACATGACACAATGCTCCTCTCATCCTAAAGTAAACTGCTGCTGAATGGTGAATGGATTTTTTACAAGAATGGACAGATTAACAAGGAAGAGGAAACAATTAACTGTATAATGAAATGACTCACAAGCTGATTTTCCTTTCTGCATGCAGCTTATTATATACTTCCGATGAACTCTTGTATTTCCTCTTTGATAAAATATTGTATCTCCCTCATCTCAGCCTGCAGGGTTTGTGTAGCCTGAGCAGCGCTGAAAAAGGGTTTGTATTTTGTTAATGGATGCCTGTGCAGGTTTGACCAAAGAGAGGCTCAAACTCTAGACGTGTAATATCAGTTTCAGCTACAGTATATATATTCAAAGAAGCTATTTGCAAGCTATCTTTTGTATGCTCTTTCAAATAATTCTAAAGGCATACTTTTTTATAAAACACTTTTGGCACAGTGTTTTGTCTTCCAAATGGTGTCAGAAATACTCATTTTAGATCAAGTGGCATCTAAAAGGATGAAGGCTTAAATAAGCCAATGTCCATTACAGCTTTTCTCTTGAAGTTACATTACATCAAGCTGTGTGTGTGAAACTCACTGCAAGAAAAATGACAAATCAATCATTGAGTCTCCTTTCAAATAAAAACTTGGCACATAACTTTGCCCTATTGACGCAGTGATGCAACCTGCCAATTACGGAATGAAACAGGGTGTTGTTTTTGCAATTCAAGTGAAATACGTGACAGCTGAACACTTTAACATGACTGACATTTGCATCTGAAACTGCTTTGATGATTCTGATTGAGGCCTGTTAAATTGTTTTTTAGACAACTTTTTTGTCTTTGTGCTGCAGTGTTTCTGTCATTTTCTCTCATCAGTTTCAGTCACAACAAAAAAATTTAAAGCGAAACTTATTTCGTTAACATCCTGCATGTTTAAAATACCTAAAACATATTTATGTTCCCTTTGTTTAACCATGAGCTTCAGCAGAAAGAATCAGAAGCATGTGAACCTGCAGCATGACATTACACACACCCTGCAGTGGGAACCTTGACTGAGCGTCTGGGTGGCTGGAGGAGAACGTGGCTGGAATATGTGTGTGCACACTTTTTTCTCAGCAGGCTGTGAAATTCCTGATGGTATATATTCATCTACTGACTGACACACACAAAGACGCGTCTACTGTAACAGTGTTTCCAAATATGGTAGGCAGTGAAGCGAGGCATCGTCACCAATGGCAAGAGTGAATGAAATGTGAGATGATACATAAATGATTTGGTGGTCAGAGGTCATGTCCAACCCACTGCCCCAGATACCCA